GAAAGCTCCTTTACTCGTTTAGAAACAGTATAAAAAATCCTACGGTTATAGAAAAAGATTCGGACAATGATGGCTTCTCTGTAGAAACATCGTTATTCATAATAATGCGTTCAGTTTAAATTTCTACGTAAAATTTGTTAATAAACATTCTCGTGTAAAAATTTCAATATCAAATTATATAAAAGGAATACCAAAAATTGTCATGGTTGAAGAGTTCTCGTGGAAAACACTGAGGGCGTTATCACTGGAAAATTTTATCTTTTTCTCAGCAAAATGTCGACGAGAATGCCGAGGCAATTCAAGTGCAGTTTTCCTTTTGTAAAGAAATAGCTTGACACTTGTCACTTACAGTGTTTTCTACAAGTACCATTCAGTTGTTTTCATATCGTGTAAAAATTGAATTACCAATGGAAGGCTTGATCTTGTTTAGTGTATCGAATAAGTATTATATAATTCGATGCACGAAAGATCCTTCGAATTTGCATTCGGGGACGGTTATTGTCCATCGCAACGGGCTGGTAATTAACTCTTAGAAAGGCTAATCTCGAAAGCACATATTATTACTATCTAAGGACACTTCTATATCGTTTCGTTACGAAGATTATCATACGAAGGCGCCGAACGTGTTACAACATGCTTGGGACGTATCAATTTAATTGACGCACGACACATCACATCTTATTGTGAAGTTTCAATAAACACAAAACTTCTACCCTTCGAGCCGTTGCAGTCAGGTAAGAGCCTAAGAAGTGCTCTTCGTGTTATTCATTTTTTCTGTCATTATATCAAATCAATTTTTAAACGTTTTTTTTAGTGAAAGCGTTGACAAATGTAATTCGTCTCTGTTTAATCTGTAAAATTGATTGTCTATCAGCGAAAACATTTTACAAAACATGTAAAATAGTAAAAAAGATTAACTATTTTGTTAACAAGAGTAGGACGTTTTCAATTTTTTCAAAACTAGAAGAAAATTAATTGACTTCTTGGCCCAACAACCAAGTCATTTCAGCATGACTTATCTTGCAGGATTGGCTTCACGTGGCCAAATGATTTTGTCCTGACTAAGCCTCTTATATTCTGGGCATAAATGTTTTTGAGTATAGTCTAACATCTTGATCGATTTAAAAGTTTTGAAAATTTTAAATTCTTGGGTGGTTCGCTTATGTTCTCTAAGCACAAACAGCCTCATTTATAAAATTCAATTTTACCCAGTTCACATTTAGCATATTCGACAATGAAACATTGAAAATCTGTTGACTAAACGTCTTCGCAACAACAGAGCGCATGAAATCAGATTATTCGCTGTCATTTCTTGCTCTAATTTTACAGATTTTGGCTTAATACAATTGCAGTGAGAACAGTTCAGTCAAGTCTTCTGGTATTTAATCTCGTCTACTACAGCAGCAAAAAAGAATACCAGTGAAGAATCTTCAAACGCTGAACAAATTCCTTATAATGCATCTTCGGTCGTTGATTAATAAATGGATATCGTCGGATTTCCGCAGGTAATCGTATAAAAACGTGTTAATAATAATTAGATTTCTCTTGTACGTAACATTGCAAAGAATCTAGCAAGCCTAGCAGCTCATTTACACGTCAAAGGATAAAACTGACGCGGTCTCCATACTATTCCAGTGCAAAGAATGCCACCTGAACAACCCTAATCAAGCTGCTTTTTCAAATTATTTCTCCTCGAATCGGAACATCTTCGTGTTGGACTCCTGCCTGCTGGACATGGTCATAGTGACGGTCTTCTTCTCGGTAACCTTGCGCGTTCTCGACTGCTTCATCATGCGCTCCTCGTGGCTATCATTGTCAACAGCTTTGAACGTGGATAATTCGTTGCCAGACGTTGCGTACTCCTTAGTCTCTTCAGTGGACTCAAAATTAGAGCTGGTGGAAGTCTTGCCAGGCGTAGATGTGTACACTTTGGTCGTGATGGTTTCTATTCTACCGCCAGGGATTACTTTCGTTTCGACGTTCTTGACGCTCTGGTTCTGGGGTATGCTTAGGTATGCGTAACGCTGTCTGTCTGATTGCTTATCTGACCTGAAAGTACTCAACGCATTTTGCCCCGAGAATCTGTCCACAGAATCAGTGTAATACTTATGTTCTTGGCTTGGAGAGTATGATTTCTGTTCATATGACCGTTCTTCATTGGAGTACTGATCCTGGGAATATTTATCATAAGTTTGTTGCTGTAGTTGTTCTTGCATCTGATCCTGGAGGACCTTGCGCGTAGGCGACGCGTGCGAGTATGTCATAGTGGGCACAGGTGGGTAAGGACCGTCCATGTGTTTCCCCTCCATGGTGCTGTAACTCTCCTGATTGATCTTCCTCTCTATAGAACTGAACTGCCCTGGACTACTCTCACTGATGACCCTCTTACCCATGGAGTAAGGACTCTCAGGTGTGTACCTTCTATCGTACTGGTTCTCATTGTACTTCTTTTCTACTGATCCATACTGGCTCTCCATAGTTGACCGGTACTGACTGTCCTTCATCTTCCTTTCCAGAGTGCTCTGAGTGGAGTGAACCTTCTCGGGGCTAACCAAATTTTGCCTGTCCATAGAAAGCTGACTGATGCTGTGGGTTGCCGACTGCAACTGATCCAAGTTGTGGTTCATCTGTGTTTGAGGATCATATGCCCTGGTCTCATACTTGGTTGTGTAGCTTTCATATCCACTCTGCTCGGCTTCGGTGTCTGTGTCCGCTAAGTCTGGTCGGTTCTTATATTTTGCCTGGCGGATAGCAGTCAACCTACCTCTGGCTTCTTCAAGTTCTCGCTCGATACGCAACACTTCTGACCTGGCGTTTATTTCTTGAGCAATTCCACCGACCATTCTGCGGTTCAGGACCAAGGACCGATCCTCTTCTTGCTGGATAGCTTGCTGAGCAGCTTTCACTAGGTTGTCAGTAGCTCGCTTCACGGCGTTTCCAGCTGCTTGCAAACGCTTCGTGCTCTCACTGTCCGGGTCTGCTTTCACTTTGCAGGCTACCAGCAACTGAGCTGTGCTGCTAGCGACCTGTTTTGCGCTAGAAATCAACTTCTCCTCAGAGCTTACACCCTGTACCAACGCGTTTGCTGATTCCACGAGACTGTGAGTTGCAGCTGCAACCATCCTAGCGGCTGATATCAATCCCTCGGACCACTGGCCGTCGTCTGAGCTGGTTAAAGGTGTTCTAGAGACTTTTCCCGTTGCTATCAATTCTCTCTGCGCCGCACTCGCCGCTTTGATTAAGGCTGATGTTGCGGCCGCGATCGATTTAGCAGCTTCGAGGATCATCTCGTCGAAATTCATATCCTCATTGGCCTCCTGAAATATGGGAAAACGAAAAGATGAAAGTGGTGGTTAGCGAGTCGACATGTTGTTTAGTTTATTAAAAGAAAATTCTGCGAACGTATCTTCTAAATTGATTAAGAGATAGGAATACATTTTTATTTTAATACGTAACTACTATAATATGTTTAAGAGACCACTTCAAATTTTTATTTCTTCCTATTTGCTTTCTTGCATAGATTATGATAATATATACCGTATTATCAGTTCAATTAGAGTTGAATGTTAAATTTTTAAAATAACTAAATAATAGCAATAAAGATTAGCAGTCTGTAAAGTTCAGAGTAATTAAACGTTAATAGCAGAAATATCATAATGTATTAATATATATAATGTATTCAGTGTTCAAAAGTTTAGAAGATGTTGAATAAATCTTCATCTGAATCTATATCAAAAATAAAAACTGCAATCCTTACCGTCGATAAATATTCGTTGATTTCTCTGATCGCCATAATAATATGTTTGATTCCTGGTCGATTATTAAAAAACAACCAAGAATATCAAACATATCTTACGGAAATCAGATCAGATACCACAATCCTTCAGCGTCTCTCTTGATTCATGTTGACTATTATTTTTGTGAAAGTAACTAAGATACTGGTTCTTCTGTTGTTTTCCGTTTTAATGTGAAGTTAATCCGTATAATATACAGACAAACAACATTTCTTCCAAAAGACAATACTAAAAACCTTTATAATAGAACTCACCTGAATGCCTCTCCTCGGTCTCAAGCTGGCCAGCTTCTTGGCAGCTGCGTCAATACTGGCTGCGGCGCCTAGCAATTCGTTCTCCGCGATGACGGTCGGATCGTCGGGGTCCACCCAGTCGTTACCTTTCAACAGTTCAGCGACGGCGACCAGTTCCGTCACGCTCTGGGCGATTTTCCTCGATATTGGTACCAGAGTGTGTTTAGCGTCACCTGATCTGGAGGCAATTTGAAGGATCGCCTGCAGTAATTCCCTGTAATCAGGAATTGAAACAATTCTTCAATTAATTGTTTCAAACTGTTATATATCGGTGGTTGCATTGACAGTTATAACAACCGAAAGTATATCCATAAAAATTATAAACTGAACAGAAAACAGAACTAACAGTATTAAACATATCAGTCATAGAACATAGGACTGTAACAGGATTAAAAAACAATTATGGAACTGATTTGAAGAAACTAAACTGAAATCGAAGATAATTTCAAATCGAATCAATTGCATTCGAACCGTGTTCAGTAATACATAATCAATTTCATTTTGTCTATGAAGAACCGATACACATTGTAATAGTTATGGATATTGTTTCGGTTCTCCTCACTTATAATTAAAGTCGTGAATTCCAAAACAGCTGAAGTCCACTTTGTAACCTTATTCATACGAGTTATTAGTGTAACCGTTTTCAGCGTACTCAAATCTATTTAACTCCTTGCCCTATGATTTACTTCTCAACTATGAACAATACAACTACTTTGCTATTAATAATTTATTAAGAAAAGATGAAAATTCTAGGCATATTCTATGTCTATGTTTTCTCTAAAATATAATTATTGATAACAGAAGAATAATATTTCATTTGAACTAAAAAAAAGTCGAGTAATACTTATGCTTGTTAAATTCTCTGTAAAATCTTCACCACGAGCCACGTTGTTATAAGGCAAGGGGTTAATAATATTAAAAATATAGACGTAACGAAGATAAGTGTGTAGCCAATGCTTGCAGCCAGACTTAACAAAATAAATAATGTCTGAATGAACGAAGATGAGAAGAAAGATTGATCTTCTCGATATGTTGATTGGTTGACTTGTGCTGTTTTAGAATTTATGGCTGCAATTGCTTTTAATCCCTGCCTGTAATTCATCGCCACATCGTGGCCGGCTTGCAATGTCCTGTCCCTAAGCTCAGCGGTCTCCGCGCAATTGTACGCTGCGCCTTTGCAGATTGTCAACATGTCGCTGATTGCCTTGCGCACCATGTTCGCCGCAGCGATTATGTCGTCCTGCTTGCAGCTGTTTCCAGCGGCGACAGCTTTACCCGTCGAAATGGTGATACTCTTCGTGCAACGGACTAGATCTTCCGGTGTCACGTTCATCTTCTGGGTTTCTGGGGTGTTTAGCGCGCGGATTTCCTGCGCGATCGCCTCGATCGTTGATTCTAGGGCCCTGGTACCCCGAGTGTGCTCGTCTTCGACAGCCTTCACTGTTTTTAGCAGAGACGTCACGTTCGTTACCATCACCTGGAGAAGAGATAAATTGACGTGATTCTGATCGTCGCTATTGGATGATGAATATAGTTTACGAGTATTCGGTTACTGGCAAAGTATCCGCTCACCTACTTACAGTTACTGACAGAAGTATCCAGTTTTTCATGTGTATGATATATTTTATTAAATTATCGCTTTATGCATAGGACCGCTATTAATAGAGTTCTTAATGGCTGATCATTTTATTTTAATAAAGGGTTTAATCTTTTCTTCGAATAACAGGTCGCAGATAATATTTAGATTATAGTACTGAATATCATTTGCCGATTTGGGTTGTAATTACTATCGCTATTGGAAGTTTGATTACGAAATTGTATAGTACTGGTTATTAGACTTTAATAAACAGTTCAATCACTGTCGGTAAATGTATTATTACATTGTCGTAAACTTTGACTCAATTTATACATTTTAAGTTACTCATTATTATTTCTTTATTTATTTATTTATTCATTATTATATTATTTTTCAGTTATTCTTAATGCATTTTTAATTTAAAATTTGAACACGTTCAGTTGAGATATTGTACACTGCTAAGTAAAAATGTATTACATAATTTGATAAAATATATGAGATGAGTGGATACTTTTGCGACTAACTGTGGATTGTCCGATGTTTCTGGCGTATTCGGCGCGTGCACCGTGACGACCCGAAGCAAGTAAACACAGGATTCTTATTTCATAATGAAATAATGATACTGGAAGTTCGTACACTGTTGAGAAAATAATGAGGAAATTCACGAATAGAGGTTTCTGTTAATATTTTTCGAGGGGATTAGAGTAAATGTGATTTTAGTTTTTCATTTTTGGATTGGTTTCAAAACCTGCAAGTAAAGAATTGAGTTTTATAAAATCCACTTCGTAATTTTTTTAAATAATATTGTACGGTCTGTCTACTGTTGTTTAATATGATTTTTTCAATTTTACATTTCTTTAAAATCATAATTTATGTCATATTTAGAATAAATAAAGCTTAGAGACGATTCTATTAATCTAAATTAACCCTTCAGTAAAAATAAAATATAATCTAATATAGTTCATTTTTAACAAAGTTGCTATAAAATTCTTTATATACACTACCGTTTGAAAGTATTTGTAACTTTTTCGAATAATTAAAATGTGTGGACATTAAAATCAAGCTTCAAGAACTAAAAGTTGGATGAAAAGCTATTTTATAATATGAGTATTAAAGAATGTTAACGAAATAGTGAATTACTGACATTGTTTACACTGGATACGCTTTCAGATTTACGTATCAGTTCCAAATAATTTGTCCTTAAATAAAAATATCTAACAACACATACTTGTTCCAATATTTATTGGTATAACAATAATAATAAGATTTCGTTAACTTGATTGATTCCGATATACAGAATCCAATAAAGATTTAAATATCTATAAGGACAATAGTTATATAAAATTTTGAATAATAAATAAAACACCAAGCAATCGTTATTTTTTAGCTATAAAATAAATAGAAAAATTTGTTAATACAGATATAAATGTTCAAATAACACATCAACCTCAAAAACGAGTTACTAAAGAAGATACGCAGGATGTTAATTTCTAAATTAGTTGTTCAGTTTTAAAAATAGAATATAATATTGTTCTAACCGCGTGATAAGCAATCGAACTTTTTACAATATTATCTTTTGTAATTTAGAATTGAAACTTACTTTTCTACCCATTCCGTAGTGGGTTAAAGAAGAAATAAACACGGCAGGGGAAATCATATTTTTGAATTTAAATCGTATGTAATAATTGTTAAGAAGTTAATGTATCTGTTACACATAAATAATCGCGTCGATTGTACGTTTTAAAAGTTGAAAACCCAGATTTTGCTGCAAAAGAATTTCGGCATGTTATAAAATTAATTGTGTTAATGTCAGTCTAACGTAATTACTATTTAACTCAATGAAGACAATTGAAAATAAGTTAGAGTGAGTATCAGCAGGGTTATGAGATAGGAAAGCGTAAAACGTTTGTTATTAGCAAACAATTATGCTTCTCGTCTTTTAACGAATATTTTTGAATAATCTTATTGTAATATACGTACCTCCAATTATGCAAATTAAAAATGTATTTTTGTATTATTACTTTTGTAATGTAATCAAAACACGTTTCGAAACAAGTTTCTCAAATTATTTCCTCAATAATCGATAGACAAGTGAAAATATTAATAAA